ACAGCCGGGATTCGGGGCCGGAGTTTCTTGACCTACTTCAGCCATGCTCTCGGATGAGTGGGACTGTGCCCTAGTTTCCACCCTCGAGCGCGAGGGGAGTGCCGTCTGCCGCCTGCTCGGGAGACGCTGAGGCACCTCCTGGGCTCCGCACCCCCAGCCGGGACGGGGAGCGGGGGGGCACAGGGCACGTGCCAGCATCCCGCCCCTGCCCCTCCCTGTGCAGCCCCCGGGTGCCAGGGAAGGACACAGGAGCCATTTGCAGGTGGGAGTCAGATATAACAGAGGGACGGAGCAGCGCTGGCAAAAAAACCGGGAGGGCAGCAGCCAGGGGAGCTGGGGCTGCGGGGGGCAGGTGTCTTACCCCGTGGGGGTGAGGGGAGGGGGACTAAAAGGGTGGATGCGCTTCATGGCGGTCCCTGGGCATCACCAACCGCAGTGAAGCCGTTAAGGTGTGGGGAGCCCTTTTTTGTTTGCTACATCTGAAAACAGCACCGCGCAGCCCTCGGGCACGGGCAGCGCTGTGCTGGCTTTCGTCCCTTCGAAGCGTCCCCTCTGCCACCCCTCGCCACGCAGTTCCTGAGCCTCCCGCTTGGAGAGGGAGCCGGCTAACGAGGAAAGCCTCTCAAGGAACGGGACATCCCTTCCTCGGGGCTGGGCTGCAAAAATATCCTGGCAGGGATGAACCCTTGTGTGAAACAATCCGCACCTGAACGTCAGCGGGTACGTGCTGGAGTTTCTTTAGGCTAAAACGAGGCGTAACGCGAGGCAGGCAGGGAGGGAAGGAGGAGCATCCCGTTGCCTGATTTCTGGCATCTCATTAGGGGTCTCTGCTAGTGGCACCATCCAGGGCAGGGACCCTGGGGACCTGGCCACGCCTCTGGGGGTTCCTGGCTCTGGAGGTACCCCCCTCTCTGCTCTAACTTCAGCAGGGCCCAGAGCAAATCGCTGTGCTGCAAGACTACACCAACCCATGCACCAGGAGCTAAAATACCATGTGTTATTTGTTAACCCTTCCTGGTAATGAAACCATGTCTTCAGTCAGTAGGAAAACATCGCGGCCCTCTTGCAAAGAGGCAGACTGCGCTCCCAGAAGCTGCCATATGCACATTTTTCTCACCCCCTCCTAAAATATCCCTGTAATTTTAATTTACTCAGACGAACGAGCAGTTGACTAAACAGACATCCATTATGAAATTCATGTTAGGAAAAGAGACACTTGGGATAATTTTGATTGATTTACTTGGCAGAGTTTTGATAGCTACTGAAAAACATACTATTCATGTTTAGGTGAAAAATAAATGGAGTCAAACAAGTGTCACTGCATAGTACTAGGAGGTATATACAGCCACATGTAAAAATGCATAAACACAAACATTTCTGTACAGCAACTCTTCCTTTCAGTCTGTATAGAGAAACACTGGTTTATAATATGGGGAAAATATAAAGCAGACATACATGCAACAAGGACATGACAGTTACATAGGTCCCACCTGCCTCCCAAGAGTTACAATAATAATAACAACAATAACAATAATAATAATAATAATAAAAGCATTTTTCAGGGAAAAAATTTGAAACCTGGAATGTTTTCATGTTGAGGTTTCCAGAGAGCTTCAGATGTCAAACATATCTGAAGGTGATTTAAAGGCTTGATTCAAAGCCCTGTGAAGGCAATGGAAAGACTCCATTGGTTTCAGTGAGCTTGGGGTCAGACCCAGCTATTTAACCACGATCCCGTTCTCCCCTCCCCCAAAATCCAAAGTTGAAGTCTGCAGATAAAAATAAACAATCGTATCATACAAAACTTTGTATATAGAATACAAAAGGTAACCGTTGACTTTTTGTATAAAATACAACTTTTTGATAGTATATTTATTTCACATATGTATAAATATAACCCAAATAATATGATTTTTATTATTCCTACCAAAATATTATTACTTTTTGTTTTTGTTTTTTTTTACAAAAGTTTACAAAACAAATAATTCTTTATATTTACAACCCAATACTGCGAAGAGTGCCCGGTCAATGATGAAAAATAGACTATAAGGGTAGTACACTTAGCCACTGCAAAGAAAGAGAAAAAAGACACTAGCTCCGTTCAGATACAAGTGTTCTGAAGAAATGGTATTGGATTCAAGTTTTGGTTGCAAGAGTCTTTCACAAGCTCACATTTCAAATGCATCAGGCATGTCTTTACAGGACTGCAAATGGCCTCTACCTTTGTTGAATTTACTTAAGACAGGATGAAATTTTGATCCTGGAGGTGGCACTTACAGCCCAGCATCTTCTCCACTCCAAGCTGAGGCCAACAGGACAAAGCTCAGCATTGAATCCACCACTGGATGATATCTTGAAGTCTTGGGACCAGCTCCTCAGCCGAACAATTTTTTGATATCATTTGAGGATCTGGAAAATAATCTGGTCTTAATACAGAAACCAGTGGTGGCTTTTTCAGTGGCATGTGAGGGTAGTCGAAGTCACCAGACTTCCGTGCCCATTGCTCTTGATGATACTAACTCAGCCTTGGTCTTAGTGGCCTTATAGTCATCTGTTCCTACCAGAGCTTCAGCCGTCACTGCTGACGTGCTCGTGGACGGGGTGTGTGCCTGTGTGTGAGCCAGGTGAGCTGATCGTCCTTCCACTCAAACTCACGTAGCTACAATTTCAGTCTAGTTTTACCCAATCTCTAGGCGACTCATTTGTTAGACCACGTCTGTATCTACCCAAACTTAGGTGGGGGCATCAGTGACCTGGTCTGAAAAGCTCATTGAAGACTTAGAAAAATTTATACTGGCATATCAAAGGGACCACATGCACCCTAGTCAAAACTGGGGGGAAGCGGAAACTTTCTGGGCAGCTGAGCCACACAATGCAGAGGTGTGCAACAATCAGTAGCTGGGGCAGAAGAAGCGACTCTTCAGCAGGCTTTCTCATCCCTCTCATGAAAAACATGTCTGGGAATGAACGGCATCATGGACCAGGCCATCTAAACTGGCATATCTAGCTACATGCCCATGTTAACACCTTTCCTGGAGGTGCTGGTGCTCGTTTGTGTGACAGTGTTTCTTGAAACATCATGAAAAATTGTGCCCACATGAAATGACAGGGGGAAATGACTGGAAAAGCCTTATTAAAACCTCTCTTGAGAAATAGGTCAGATAAGTGGAGAGGCTATTGTCAAGTAGTCTACTCATCCCACTGCTGCTAACAAGGATGAATAAAGCACTTGCACGGGGCAGAGCAATGCCTCTTGGCACTGAGGCATGTGAACGTAGGCATTGTATTCCTTTGCCACATTTAGTTTTAGCTAATTCAGAGGAGGCTGTGAAACACGTCACAGCACATCATTTTAAAGAACAGCGTTTTCATTTGAATTGCAAGATCTGTTCCCATCTATAAATCCCTCCTGTCTGACTCTCTTTGGGTCTGCATTATAGTGACATAGCACCTCCTTCTGATGCCCTTACTGACCAAGTCTATATGAGAAAATTCAACATGGTCGAGACTATTCCCTGGCACCGAGGTCAAGTGGTGTGGAACAACCTGTATCCTTACTGCTCTGCTCTGTTGGCCTCCAAGGCAAGGTGGCTGCAAACTGTCTATGGGAATGGTCCTTGCCCCAGGTTAACTCCCTAGTGATGCACAGAAATTGGTCAGGGCAGTGTTAGCTGGGCTATCCCCAAACCCAGAACAGATGATTTGAGTCCAGAATTATTCCACAAAATCTGTTTCATTTACAAGCACAGATGTGGCTGAGTGGAGCCTCCTACTGTGAGTAACCCAGGTGGTTACAACTGATCTGCATGCTAGTTTCAGGGGCAGCACTCTTGTACTCTGCCTGATGGAGGCGGTGGGGACCTGGGCCATCACCAGATCTCTTTTAACTCCCCCCACATGGCAAAGGAAAGCTATGGGAAAGCAGGATGGAGCCAAAATGCTCTGCAATTAAAATGGTAGCCTCTCCTCAGATAGAGACCCTAGCATTTCTGCTGGGGTAAACCCGTTTGATAGAAGAGGACTGGGTTGAACTACCTGGCACTCACTGTCAGTTAAGATGAAAATGGGGATAGTGGCTTAGCTGAGCCACTTCATGCATTTGCCCTCCTCTAAGCTGGATTGGGAAAGTAGTCAGTGATGGTCATACTGTGAGCACCCTTCCCGTTTAAGTTGTCCATTAAGTCACTGGAGTCCCTGGGGTAGGGCAAGGTGGCAAGTGAGGATCCTGAGCTTTGGTGTAGTTCATCTCATGTTTCCCTCAATGCCCAAAGGGACTGTGCTGCTGGCAGGACAGTAGCGTCCTCTGATACTTGCTGCAAGCACTGATGGAAGGGAGAAAGCGAACACTAGAGCACACTGAGTAATGCACTGGATGATCTGTTTCCTTCTTCCCTTGGACGAGACCACTGACCCTTTTGCGTGCTACAAAACATAGAGGGTTTAAATCAAAATCAAGGGGAAAGCAAATGTGAGTTTGTTCTGTGTAGACATAAACAGGTTTTGTAATGCAATGAGATTTACACAGGGCTTGATGCTGCCAGGGCTGAGTAGTCCCACGGAAATTAAGGGCTGAGAACACGGTGACTGAAGAACTCTGGACCGCTTGGGCTCTTACTTGCACTCAGAGAAATGATGTTCCACAACCCATACCACTGTCTGGTGCTTGCATGTGTGGGAAGCTAAACATGTTTTTCCATGCAGCCCCCACGAGAAGACCTGATGGGTTTGTAATGCGCTGGGCACTGGTGTGGGGAACAGACCCTTCACGTGTTCTCACTTCTTTGTGGCAGGCGTGAATATCACTTACGTTATCGTTTCATTGGGGGAGACTTCAATTTTGTTCCTAGAGCAACTCTTCCAACAGGGCAGTTGCCCTACATGGTATTTTAAAGGACAGCCCAGTTACTGGAGTGTAAATTAATAAAGCAGGTTGTTGGCATCTAAAGAGAAAGCTAATGTCTTTACTCCCTCTTCATCTGGTTCACCCGTGGTACTGTCACTTACGAGTGGTTCCCCAAAATTTCATCGAGGTTGATGTCTTTCATCCAGTCATCATTACCAGGTTCGGTTTTCAGTAAAGAATCTATAAAGTCTGAGTCACTGTTGAGTGCAGGTCCTATACTGTCACCTTGCTGGTTCAGAAAGTCAAATGCTAGGTCATTACCATGGTCACTTCCTTGGTAAGCCCGAGAGTTTTGGTTGGTAGATGTGAAACTGGTTGATGGCAGAGATGACGGAGGTGTCATAGTTGTTCCTGGCTGATTCAAGGTAGGCACAGTCTGTCCTCTCAGCTGGTTAGGTCTTATGCTGAGACCTCGTAGTGAGCCAGCAGATTGTCCATTTAGAGTCTGGTGCATTTGGTTTGGAGGAGACCTCATTTGGACTCCCGCTGTTAACTGATTAGGAGGTGCCAATGCACGCTGAGGAAAATGCTGGGTGCCTACGTTGCGTTGCAAAGACTGGTTAGAATATGGAGTGCCGGTGGGGAAACGGACCCCTGTGGGTTTCAGTGCATCCTGCTGCTTCACCGCAGCTTCTTGCGGAGCCCAGTTCTGGGCGGTGGCAGTAGCCGTGATCATCACATTGGCCGGCCTTTGCGCGGGGATACCTGTGGCTCCGTGGTTCAAGCTTGGCCTTACTTGCTGCGAGTTGACCACTGACCCCGTCCCAAAAGCTGCTACATTGTTCCCCTGTGTCATGGTTTGCTGTCGAGACATCATGGGGTTATTCTGACTGGGCAGGACTTGATTTTGGTTTCTGTGTGGCTGCATTTGGTTCATTCCTGTAGTCACGTTGTATGCGCTTGGTTGGTTGCAAGGAAGGTTTCCGTAGCAGCCCATACTCCGAGCAGCAGGAACAGAAGGCATTCGGGTCCCAGAGGGGGTGGACATGAGGCTAGAACTCTGGGGCATGATGCTATGAGCGGAAATTGGGTTGGATAAGGACATGTTGGAGCTCATACTCACAGCTGGTGAACCACCTGGAAAGGAGAAAACAGAAGTGTTAAAACAAACATGAGTGCATCAATGCATGGTATCATTCAAATACGGACAGGTTAGAAATGCAGTTTTCTAGCAGCAGAATTTGTTGAAGAAGATATTTTTCTCTTAAGAGGACTTGCGTGAACCCGCTTATGGCCTTAAAGATGCCTATCATCCAAAGGGTGGTTTGGTCTATATGAAGCCATTGGTGGTCTTTCCATCCCTTCAGAGGACACCAGATAAGCTAAAAATGGTGCTCATTGTAAGAGAAATACTGGAGCAGGGAAGAACCATTGGGCGGGAGAGAAGACTTTTCTGCCCTTTTTTTACAGAAGCATCAGTTATCTACCATTCATGGCGAATTCTGCCCAGTGAAGGATTTTCCTGTACCTGACGTCTACCAATGAATCACAAGAAGAGAGGTTTCCCTTCTCTTCAGACCCCAAACCTCGACAACAAGCTCACTTCTGTGGCATATTTGTGGCTATTTTGAAGGCACAATAAGTAATTTATGTAATGTAGGCTGATTGCAATGCAAGTCTCTGTATTAATCCCTGAGAGATTGCTTGAAGAAGACCAAATGTTTTCTAAACACACTCGGTGTAGATGGCTGTGTGAGACTCCTCCTCTGCACATATCAAGCAGCTCCACAGCTTAATTTCCTTCGCTACTGTTGTTTCCAGTGCAAGTCTTCCAAGAAGTGCTGCTAGAAGTCAGGTTCAAGGCAAGCAAAAGGAGATGTTTCTCCACACAACTTGTGGGTCAGCCGAGGAAATCTTTGCCACATTGGTGCTGTACAAGTTCAATGCTCGTACCACTTTGTGTGGCTCCCAAACTGTGGGAAAAGCTGTCGAATGGGCTTGTCAAGGTACCACCACATTCTGGGAATACTCTGAGCCTCTCCCAAAAAAGGAACGGAGGAACATATAGCCCTGGAACTTTGCTATTGCCAAGGTAGCAACTAATAGCAATTGTTGGACATGGGACACTGCCTTGGTTTGATCCTTCGTACTGCGTGGTTTAACCCCGCTTGGTAACCAGGCATCACACAGCTTCTCGCTCACCCTTCCCCACCCCTGGTGGGATGGGGGAGAGAATTGGAAGGGCAAAAGAAATGAAATGAAATGAAATGAAATGAAATGAAATGAAATGAAATGAAATAAAATAGAAATAAAATAAAAACAAAACAACAACAACAAACACAACGACAATACTACTACTACTATTGTAATGAAAAGGGAAACAACAAAAAGGAAGAAAGAAACAAAACCCAGGAAAAAGAAGTGATGTTTTTGGTTGGCTCACCACCCACCAACCAAAGTCCAGCCAGTCCCTGAGCAGCGATCGCTGCCTTCCTGGCCTGTATCAGCAATAGTGTAATCAGCAGTAGCAGGAGTAGGGAAGTGATCGTGCCCCTGGACTCGGCACTGGTGAGGCCGCACCTCGAATCCTGTGTTCAGTTTTGGGCCCCTCACTACAAGAAGG